GCCCCTAACTGCCCTCCCCTGCAGGCCTGGTTGCCCCCAACTGCCCTCCCCTGCTGGCCTGGTCACCACTAACTGCCCTCCCCTGCCAGCCTGGTCGCCCCTAACTGCCCTCTCCTACCAGCCTGGTCGCCCCTAACTGCCCTCCCCTGCAGGCCTGGTTGTCCCTAATTGTCCTCCCCTGCTGGCCTGATTGCCCCTAACTACCCTCCCCTGCCAGCCTGGTCACCCCTAACTGCTCTCCCCTGATGGCCTGGTCCCCCCAAAACTGTTCTCCCCTGCAGACCTGGGTCCCTCCCAACTGTTATCCCCTGCAGGCCTGGTCGCCCCCAACTGCCCTTCCTTTCATGCCTAGTCCCTCCCAACGGCCCTCCCCTGCTGGCCATCTTGTGTCCACATGGGGGCAGCCATCTTTGACCATATGGGGGTGGCCATCTTGTGTGTTGGAGTGATGGTCAATTTGCAAATTACTATTTTTTTTAGATAGGATGATGAAGCATCATGTTTATAGCATCAGGTTATCTTCTCTCCCCTGCCCCCACTTCCCATCTTACTTTATTTTTAATTCTAATTATGAATTTAAAATATAAAAATTGTACTAGTCTCAGATATTCCAAATACCTAAATCTTGAAAGTGAAACACGTTTGAAAAGTTAGGGTTTTCAAATTCTTTAACATTTTTCTTTCTGGAGTCTATATGAGGTAAGTGAACTGTCATTTGTGTGCTACTCTCAGTTTTATGAGCATAGAAGATAAGATTCTTATTAAATTTTTCATTTTGATTTAGTCTACTTAATGGTCTCTTCTTACATCTTAATATTTTTTCACCATAAAATTATACAGAAAATATAACAATAATATAATAAAAATGAAAAAATTAAAGTAGTGTTCATAGAGTGATCCAATCACTGCTACAACTCAATGTACAGTTTTTGTCTAGGTGAGATCAGGCCAGTTATTATCCACCTAAATTAGCTATAATTATTCTGCAGTGTCAAAGTGATCTGAATACTATTTCCAAGAAACACATACTATTGTGGGTTATCAGTATTTATAAATCTCAATCATTGTGGATTTTTACTAACTCACTATTTTTCTCTCATTATAAAATTTATACTTATTGTAAAAAGTATAGAAACCCAAAAGAAATTAAATTGTCTTTTAATTCTACCTGTAATATATTGAATATCCTTTCTATTTTAATTTATGTATATTCATGTTAAAATTTTTCTTAAAATCAGAACAACCTTTTTACTATTTATTCTTTTGTAGTCTGTCTTTCCCACCTAAAGATATATTGTGAATTTCCCTGTGATTAGGTCATTTTTTTTTGCAAGAAAAATTACATAGCCCTAACTGGTTTGACTTAGTGGATAGAGCATCGGCCTGTGGACTGACAGGTCCCGGGTTCGATTCCGGTCAAGGGCAAGTACCTTGGTTGCGGGCACATCCCCAGTGGGGGGTGTGCAGGAGGCAGCTGATTGATGTTTCTCTCTCATCGATGTTTCTGGCTCTCTATCTCTCTCCCTTCCTCTCTGTAAAAAATCAATAAAAAATATATTTAAAAAAAAGAAAATTGCATAAAGTGGGGTTCTCATAATTTAACTGAGTCTTTTATTCAATATTTCAGTTGTTTTTATCATTTGTCATTATAAAGAAAACCTTGAGCATGGATAACTTTTTAATATTTTTCAGTACTAACTAGTGACTATTTTCTTGGAATGAATATACTACTAAAAAGTGAAACTCTTGGGTCAGAGTTGTTCTTTCTTTAAAGGCTTTTGCTACCTATTGCCACACTGTCCTTCAGAAAGCATATAGTATTCTGTGCTCTCACTAGTAGTGTCTGCAAGTATTTTGCCCTTACCCTCAATAGCAGTTTTATTAACTAAAAAGTTCTTGCCAGTTTGATAGAAGAAAATAACATATTATTGCTGAATTATTTTGAATTGCCTTATCATTGAGACTGAAGAGTTTTACATACATTTATTTATATTAAATATCTCTTCATTTGTGAATTGCCTATTTATGTTGTGTGCCCATTTTCCTTTAAAGGATTTGTCTAGTTATTGTGGTTTTGTAACTCTTAATGTACAGGGTGGGGCAAAATTAGATTTACAGTTGTTTATATGGAAAACAATACAATAATTAATACATAACAATACAAGAATTAAGTTTCATGTGCTCATAACTGTAAACTTACTTTTGCCCCACCTTGTATATTTTAATGGTGTTAGTCTTTATCTGTAATATGTTACATTTTGTTATTTTCTTTACTTTATGGTTTTGTTGTCCAGTCTTTCCCTCTTTTTTTTTTCTTTTTTTTTCTGTTGGGGGTTTGTTTAGAATGGCTTCACCCACTTTGAGATTAGATAAAATATTTTGTGTATTTTCTTTCATTTTTTAGATTACTATACATTTAACTCTTTAATTCCTCTTGAATGTATGTTGATGTATAATTTCATATAGAGGTACAACCTAATCGTTTTTCTCAGGCAGTTAACCAAATATTTCTGTATCATTTATTAAATAGCTCATCTTATCACTTCTGACTTGACATAACATCTTTTACTGCATACTGATTGCATATTTGAAACCATTTCTCAGTTTTTTGTTCTATTCCCATTGATCTTTTTATTTAAACTTTTGTTAGTCTTCTGCTGTATCAATCACTGTAGCTTTACAGTATCTTAAAGTGTGGGCAATAAGTATTACAGGATCACATTCATAATTGTTCTTTAAGGTGTTTACATACTTCTCTAAAATTTATTTAGGCGACCCCTGTGAAAGGGTCATTCAACCCCGAAAGGGGTCATGACCTACAGGTTGAGAACCACTGGATTAGGTGCTAGAGGGAGAATTAAAGTGTGGACAGTAGAATGGATAAGAGCAGTATTGAAAAATGGATCTCTAATGCAATGTGTTTATTATTGCCACATATTAAAAGACAATACATTAGTAATTTTCTTTTTAGATTTTACTTAAGAAAGCAATGCTTCCAAATAAAAGTTTTTGTTTTATTGTGTTTGTTCTTTTTTAAAGAGAGGGAAAGAGAGAGAAATGTCAATGTGAGAGAAACACATCTATTGGTTGCCTCCTGCATGCTCCCCCAACAGGGCCCAGCCCTAGCAGGGGAGAGCCTGCAACCAAGACACACGCCCTTGACCAGAGTCCAACCTGGGACCCTTTGGTCTGCAGGCTGACACTTTATCCACTGAGCCAAACCGGCTAGGGCCCAAATAAAAGTCTTATTATGTAAATGAAGTAAAGCAATGTTTTGGAAACCCCTCAATATGAGGGAGTTGGAATAGTGCTAGAGTTTGAGAAATACGGAATCATAGATTTTCAATGGGTCTTTATCTGAGTCTTGTCTAATATTTAAGAGGAAATCCTGTCGCTCACTCCCACCATGTTTCCATAGCTAGTCTCTCCAGTAGCAGCATTAATTGAGTCCAGAGAGCTGTAAATGGCACAAATTTAATAGCAGTAATCTCAAAGCAATGTTCAAGTCACATTAACTTTATTACAAGTATTGCTAAATAACTTTATTAAGAATTTAAATGAAATATAGCATAAAATGGTTAGACCTGTGCCTTGGTCTAATTGGGGTACCATATATTTTTAATATATCTTTATTGTTGAAAGTATTACAAATGTCCCCCTTTTTCTTCTTCTTTTTTTTCTTCTGGGGGGGTGTGTGCCATATTTTTAAGTGATCTATTGTCTTAATGGTGAAGAGTTCTGTAGATGTAATAAAAATAGTAATTAAAGACCTAGGGAAATTTGGCCTAATACATGTTAGCAGGTTGAAGTGCTGTTGAAAGAAGAGGACAGGATATCTGTAATAGTGTCAACAATAAACAAATTAATTAATTAAATGTTTGTTTTGTGTTGTTTTAGAAGGTTCAGACAATAGGGAAATAGTTCTCAATATACAAAAGAACTTAGAAACAATTAATGGCTACCTGACATGGATAGAGTTGGACTGCATCAAGAGAGAGTGCCTCAAATATAGGTGTTCAATAAATCTTTGTTAAATGAATAGATGAAGGGACTCTTTAATAATATAACATCAGTGGCAATTTAGCTGTAGAAAATTTTAAACAGGATTTTGTAGAGCGTATTTGTACTCTGGTGGGATGTTATCTTCATGACCTCCTAATGTTCTTTCAAAATTAATACTAGTATTTATTATACTTTCTTAATTATAAGACTGATCTTTAAAATATTATTTATATTCTGACTGTAAACAATATAGTAAGTACTTTTAAAAGATATTTTTTGTTTACAAAGGAAACAAAGTGCTAAAACACTATATTATTTTATTTGATCCTTATAATAACCCAGTGAGGAAAATTAATTTAATGTATGAACAAAAGGAGACTGAGAGAAATTAAGTGGCATGTTTGAGTTACTTAGAAAGCTGTAGACACAGGGTTTGAAACCTGGCCTCTAAAGGTTCTGTTTAGTACAATACAGAGCAGTTTTCAAATTCCTCAGAGTCTTAGAATTCTGAGGTGGGGACCAGGGGAAGGCAGGTCTGGACTGTTCCTCTCACAACACACAAACAATGAAAACAGTTCCATTTTTACCCATTTCTGTATAAGTGAGGCAGTATAGCAAAGCAGGAGTGGGTATAGGTAATACAGTTTCTATAGTGGTATTTGTCTTGATCTACACATGAATGAGAGAAGGGGGAGGAATAATATGGAAGAAGGATCCAAGGTAAAACAGAAGTAGTGATAGGCTAGGAAAGTGCATGGCCCATTTGTTTGTTTGAATTGTACCAAAGGAGTGAGAATGCCAGGATAGTTATGGTTATGAAACATTTCTAAATGCAAGGGTGGCATATAACTGATGTTTAGAGCATTAAGACTTATCCTCTGTCTCCATAAATGGGTCTAGCTTTCTGTGGTTTCTAGAAGAGAATCTTAGCCAGCCTCCCTGTTTTGCACACATGCCCCTCATTGCTGTGGCTGGCATCTCCTCCTTGGTGTGAAGGCGCCTCCCTGGGCAGTGTGCCAGAGAAACAGTAATGTTGGTTGTTTGAGTTAACACACACTGTTTGTGCTAGTGTTTGTCAAACACACAGATGATAAGAGAGCCAAAAAAAATAATTATGTGATATGAACCAAATAAGGAAAATAGTGTTTTCCTTCCTTGGTCATTTATGATGAATTATCTCAATATTTACATTTAGTGATTAAGGTAGATGTTTTGTAGGTATACTCTTCTACAGCTTAGAAAAATATGGCAATTCCTGATTGGAACAAAAAGTGATTGAACAAATGCTTTTAAATGGAAAATTCTACAAATGATTCCCAATGTTTTTCAAAGCCACTGTTGAAACACAATTACTTATGTATTTATTCAACTATTATGTCTGAGAGCTTGGTTGCAGTGCCTAATGTTACTGACATGCTTTACTATTAAAGACTTTAAGTATTGCTCCCTATTACTTCATTAGTGTTGTTACTGAGAGAAGTAAAATTTGGAACTATGTTGCATTAAATAGTACAAGCATATTACAGTTGTGCTTGGCATAAATACTGCATTAAAAATGTGAATTTATTATAATATTGCTACTGTGTGCCACTGAGAGCCTGGTTTCGTTTTGAGTTTTGATTGCAAACATAAATCTTTGGATGAGAGCACAGGAACACAAAAGTCATGGTTTTTTTCAGTGCATGATAGATCTTTTGAAGATCAAATAGTGTAGGTTATTCTTAAAGTAACTTAAGCAGTGCTGTTATCACCAAAGGGTCAGAATGATTCCAACAGCATTCCTGAAGAATTACAGGTCTGAGTCACAAGTTACTATCTTAAATGCCAATTCTCTCCCCTAGTTTATTCACTTTTATAGTAAGGGCCTTAAACTGTATCTAAGTGCTCTGATTGCTTATTCCATATATTGCCCTTTCTATAGAATATTAATTTTTTTTAGGAATAGTAAATCATAGTTACTGCTGTTTTCGGTTATAGGCAATCACAGAAGGACTAGAGTGGTTTTCTAAAAGCTATGACTGTACACTTTACATATTCATTTATAAATGAGTTTTTCTTGAATTTCCATTAAAATTTATAGCAATTTGTTCATCTGAGGGAACTTTAAAAAATCTGGAAATATTATGAAGCAAATCATCTGCCATTTTTAAACTCTGATAAAATCTGCAAAGTTCACATACCTAGTGATTCTTTCTGTCTCATTAGGAAAATGGGTGAAACAGTAATCTATCCATGTTTAGAATTCATGTATTTTGAAAAATTTAAATTGTTATTTCTAAGACAAATGCTATATTACTCTAGAGACCAGCTTGTGAAAGAGATTGAGAGTACATGTTATTTTCTTGCTTGCCTGTTTGTATGAAATATTGTAGTAGTGTCACTATTTTCTGTATAGATCTGTATAATTATAGAACTTCAGAGTAATATCTAGAATCATAGAAATTAAAAAAAATAGACTTGAAGAGGTTTTGCATATTATGTAATCCAACTTATTTTCGATATAGGAACCCCAATATCCAGAAAAGTTACTGCTCCAAGTCACATAATAAATTGCTAACGTGGAAATAAAATTCTCCCCAAATAACATGTTTAGCCCATTTCATGAAGTTTTTGGTTATCTTGTAATCAATAGTGAGTAATGATTGCAAAGCCCAGAATTCATTTTGCTAACAATAAGTGCACACTGCAACTAGTTTTATAAATAACATGCATTACACCACAGCAACACCCATAGTTTTAAAATTATACCAGTTTGCATGACTGTAGACATTTCAAAGCTCTCCTTTGTACTCTCCATTATAAACATCTTTTACTTCTTTTGAAGTCCGTATGATATACATACAAGCAATTAACCCCCCCCCCTTTGGTTTGGAGACACAAGGTCTTCTTAATTAAAATTCAAACAAAAGCTACTGGCAAAAATTACTATATGATTAAGGTCTAAAGTATTATGATACATTAGAATCATTGTTAACTGTTGGGATTAAAAGAAATCAATACGTTGGGGAAAAGATCAGTTGGATCTAATTAGTGAAATCAATGTTTACATATAAGAAAATACTGAAGTTTAATAACAGGTTCTAGTTATAAATATAACACGGACTAAAATTGTTCTTTGTTATTATTACATTGACCACATAATCATATCTTAAGTTCATTGAATAAGACTCTGAAACTTCTTTTTAAATAGTTAATTATTATAATTAAAAACATAAAACTTTACTTTAAAATCATGTCTTCTTTCATTTTTTAAATCATGTCTTTTTTCAAAACTTTTAATTATTCTTAAATGCATAGTCAACAATTATAAAACATTCCTATTGATTTCATTTTTTAAATGCTAATTTTAGCAATAGCTGCAGCTTAGAATGGCAAAGGAGGCAAAATTGGGCAGAAGTAAAAAGGATCCAAAGTATTCTTACACAATTACAATTAAATATGTATTAGTCTATTTGATGACATATCAGAATAAAAGTGAATTCATTTTGACGTAATTCAAAAACAAGACATTTTACTTTTTTTCTTGCTGATTGCTGTGATGAAAAAAAACATTGTCACCAGCACAGAGAAAAAAAACTATTACTAATTGCAGCCTAGATTTTAAGTAAAATGAAGGTCATTAGCAATTTCCTGGAAGCCATTCAGATTGCTTACCAGGAAATGGTAGCTAGCAGGACATCTGTAATCCTCCTGTGTAGAGTTAGTGAAAACACATACTGGAGCTTTAATGACATGTGTTAGATTTAAGCTGATGGTGAAACCTTTCTCTATCAAAGTA